ATACACTCCTTAGAGAGATCAATCATGGGAGAACAGAAGGGCTGTGTATGGACAGGGAGACAGCTCGGGGGGCAGGAGTGCATGGGAGGGAAGGACACAGGGAAGAGGAAACTATGGGGAGGAAGCAGGAGGGGAGCTGTTACACTGTGGGAAATTAGTCAGTCATGAGACAAAGAGTATGTGAGCTGCTGTATGGAAAGTGAATTTGCTCTGTAAACTTTCACCCAAATCATAAAAAAAAGGTGTGTTTTTAGTATACTACACCTAAAAATTGAATCAGAAACATAAGCAAAAACAGCTAATGTTATTTTAGAATACTATTTCCATATTTCAGAAGCCAGAGCTAACTAAAATCTGTCAGTGTTTTATTTCCCAAAGTGCCACTTAAATCCTTGCCCAAGATCATTCACAAGTGCTTCTCACTCCTAGTTTCTTGTTCTCTGGGGCTGTGTTCTAAAAAATTGGAACTGTAACATCACTACAAGTGGACCAAAGAAAAAAGAAAAGAGCTGAAACTCATTAGTACATTTATATTCTGTGAGAAACTGGTGGTGCAGTGGTTAAGACCTCAGTTACTAACTGAAAGGTTGGTGGTTCAAACCCACCAGTCGTACCATGGAAAAAGATGTGGCCATCTGCTTCCGTAAAGATTTCAACCTTGGAAACCCAATGGGGTAGTTCTACTCTGTTCTATAGGGTCTCTATGAGGCGGGATAACTGCAAACTAACTGTGGTTATGCATGTCAAAGTAAGTTCTTTAGACTTGAAATTTCAACAAAGGGTAAAAAAACAAACCAACCAAAAACAAGAATGAGAAGGTTACCTTGCCATGCCTGGAAAAGGCTTCCTGCATGAGCTGCTGCAGCTCCTTCCGGGATAATCTGTAATCTATGTTGCTGATCTGGATGTCAGCACCATTTGCAAATGGGTCTGGGCAGTCTGCACCACTGCTTGAGTTTGCAATGTTGAAAGCAAGTGGGGATGCTCTGTTTAAAAGGTTTGGAGACATACTCCTGCTTAAAATATACATATTGAGATTATTTTCTTTTTCACAAAATTGTCATTCTATTTATTGGTTATATCATTTAGGCATAACACACTACACAAAAACTGTTCCACATCCCGCTTTGGCGAGTAGAAGAAATAATTTTTCCACAACGCGACCAAACTAAACATTTAGTTTTCAATTTAAACATATACCAATTTACACTTACTATCAAAAGCACCTTTCAATTGTATACTATCTGTTGACCTCTTAACAACAGTAAATTGCTTAATATCAAATATTCTTTTATCGGACTATTTCAAGCTAAAGGTAGAAATTATAGGCAGGCCTAAAAAAATTAAATTTCCACTTTGGGCATTCATTGTTAGGAAATTAGCTTTCAATACCAATTTTTTCATTTAACCTCCCTTTTGGCTGTGAAAAACTAGATAATCTTGCTCTTCTATTGAAGTCCTTCTCTACGTAGGAAACAATTTTATGTAATTTTTAGATGGAAGTTTACAGGCCCAATGTCACTTTTTACAGTGATTTTTCACCAACACAGTGGTACACACACAATGCCAGAAGGGGCTCATGGGAATACTACATGGCCTGTGACTCGTTCTGTCTTTCCAGTCTTGTAAGAATGACTTGGTATCATTTTAGGAAGCTTAGATTACAAGTGTTAGATAGATAATTACTATGGTTTACAGAGACCCCCAACTTCTCAAACAGCTTCTTATAATTACTCTATTAATTAAGAATAACAAATTTATGCCTAGTTTGAGCTTCCTCCTCAATACAGTAACATAAGCATATATAGGTGCCTCCCATCATCAGCCAGCAGCTTGAAGATAGGCTTTTCTCTCTGACCTCTGCTTCCCAAGATTTCCACGTAGAGGAGGCAGTGATGACCCCAAACGTTAACTATAATAACCTGAGGAAACAGGGACTGGCAGAAGCAAGATGGAGGATTCATCTTTTAATTTATGCATTTCTGTATTACTTGAACTCTTTTAAACAAACATGCCATTTAGTAATCTTTTCTTATCGCACATAACCACACCATGGGTTTGAGAAGCCAGACTTACCGAGAAGACCAAGACTGGGATGTGAGTAAAGGTCCGACATGCCTTGACACAATCAACTTGCTAAAAGCAGATGGGTAACTGACTTGGAACATAGTCTCCTCTTTATCTTTTCTTTCTACAGGAGAACTGGTAACACTTCGGGCACTGAGGTTTTCTTTTCTAATATAGGGAAAATCCAGGGGGAGAAGGTCATTTGTTTTCCTTGACATTAAATAAACAACTGTGAAGAAAATAATAATTTAACATACTTCTGATTGCCTTTGTAAACTGATTCTGCCATCCCCAAGGTTTTAGATGTCGGCACTGTAGCACTTGGATTACTGTGAGGAGGGGTGACCAGCCTCACGTTACCCTGCAGAGGCTCACTGTTTCTATTACCAGTCTTGGACTCCACGCGGCACAGCTCCTTAAAGAGACAATTGCAGTGGGTTTAAAAATTTAAGTACTAAGAAGTATTAGACCTTGTACAGAAAATACTTGATTCTGACTAGCATCAAAAACTAAAATAAAAAAAAGGACACACCAAAAGCAAGCGAGCACATAAAACACAGAAACAAAGAAACTAAACCTACCATAAACGTCAGAAAGCAAGAGGTCTCAAAATTACCTGTAAACTTTTAACATTTGCATTTTTTGTAGCAGATCCAGAATTTGCCTGTGACCCTTTTCCAGGCGTGGCTTTGGCACTGGAAGATTGTTCACTTGCATCTTTGATGAGGCACAATTTTAGATTCTTAAGTTTTTTGGGAGACTTCACTTTATCAACAATTGCACTTGAACTCTTTGTTTCACAGAGTTCTCTATTTTTTGGAGTAAATGACACAATGATCCTATTACCAAAGACATCTTCATTTTCCATTCGCTTCTGAGCCCGTTCTGCACTATCTTGGTTTATGAAGCGGAGAATTGCACTGCAGCCTGTGATACTCAACACTTTCCCACCACAATTATCGGACAGGCGTCTGAGCCTATTGCTGATGCTCTTGCCATCTTTATTTGCTGGTAGGTTATAAACATAGAGCAGAGTATGGCACTGCTAATACAGAGGAAAAAAGTGTTACATTAGGTTAACTCAAGGGCACACATTCAGTTACAAATAAGAACAGTGCGTTATCTCCAAATCTTAGCTGACAACCTTGGAGGAGAGGCGGTAATGAATTAGACAGAGTGGGTAAACTTACTTAGTGTTAGCAAGAGAACCAAATGCCATTTTAAAAGAATATGCTAAGATTTGGGAAAAAAAAAAAAAAAAAGAAAAGAAAGAATATGCTAAGAACAAGAAATCCACATATTGCATGATTCTATTTCTATGAAACATCCAGAAAAAGCAAATCTATGGAGACAGAAAGATAAGTGGTTGCAAGGAGGTGGAAATTGGGGTTAACAGTAAACTGGCATGAGGAATCTCACAGAAGTGATGAAGGATATTCTAAAGCTGGCTGTACAACTTGGTAAATTTACTAAAAATGAGTAAACTATACACTTAAATAGGTAGATTTTGTGCTATGTTAATTAGCTTTCAAAGATGTCTATTTTATTATTCAGTGGAGCTATTGAAAAATACTTTTAAAATTAGAGTTTATGCAGCTAGAACAGCAGGTTGCCAGTAGTCAACCCAGAAGTTCCATTTGTCAGTGGGTGATCAAACCATTCCAGATAAATTGAAATTTATGTCTTAAGAAATAAAACCATGAAAGTACCAGAAGAACACTTAAAGCAATTTTGGAGAGATTTACATCCAGAAACCATAAATCACAAAAAAAAAAAAAAAAAAGGGCAAAGGATGTAAACAATTTACACATCAACATCTAACAATAATAAAAGGATATTTTGCAACATAAGTAATAATTCATGAGCGAAACCATTTTTTACCTATCAGATCAGAAAATGTTTTTAAATCAACACCACACTCTTATTTATTGTTGGCAAGAGTATAAATTAGTACAGCTTTCCTGGAGAGCAACTTGGATCTGGCCAATGAAATTCTGACCTAGAACTTGCCTGCCTTGGAACTTATCCTACAGACTATTAGCCCAGAAGCTCAAAAGTGACATAAGTTACATTGCTGGACATGGTGAAAATGCAGATATAAATAAAATGTCCAGTAAGAATAAATTATCAAGGCCAGCCGTACAAGAATGTTTCAAACCAACAATCTTGTTGGTTTTTAAAATGTGGTACAAATATATTAGTATCTATTGATATAGAAAAATACAAACATGACGTTGTTAAGAAAAAAAGAGTCATGGAATGTAACATACTATTTGTGTTTTTTAAAAAAATGAACACATTCAAAAAATTTTTAAGATAATACCAAATTCTAACCAATAGTTATCTCTGGAGGATGGCATTGTGGGGATTTTACTTTCCACATTTCTGAATATAGATTTAAAAAAAAAAAACCATCAATGAACACACTTTTGTAATCGGAGGCTTTGCTGCCCGATCATCAGCAAAATCTACATTCTTCCTAATACATGTAAGGCTTAAACATATGCTTGATTTATTAAAATTAAAGGGATAGCCCAAAGAACACAAAAGAAAAAATTTATCTTAAATTATGACTCTAGTTAAGGAGCTCTCAGTGGGTAAGGCATTTGCTGCTCACCAGAAGGTCAGTGGTTCAAACCCACAAGTTGCTCTGCTGGAGGAAGATGAGGCAATCTACTTCCATAAAGATTCATAGCTTTGGAAACCTTTATAGGGGTCATTAAGAGTTGGCATTGACTTGATGGCAGTAGGTTTGGTTTGGTTTGGTTTCAAGTGAAAAAAAATTTCTGGCAAGACAGCATGTTCTGAATAATCAGGTCTCTTTCACCTTATGCACAATAAGGATCTCAGAAATTGGCACGTTGTCACCTACAAGATTACATTTGATGTAAAGGCCCCAGAGGTTAGAAAAACATAAACCAAACCCACTGCAATCAAGTTGATTCTAATTCTTAGTAACCCTATAAGTCAGAATAGAACTGCCCCATAGAGTTTCCAGGGCTGTAAACTTTACAGAAGCAGACTGCCACATTTTTCTCCTGTGGAGTAACTGGTAGATTTGAACCACTGACCTGGTTAGCAGTTGAGTACTTAACCACTGTGCTACCAGCACTCATGAGGTTAGAAAAATGAGTACACATCAGAAGCAGAAAGGAAGAGAGGCCAAAAGATGAAAACATATTGATTAACAGCAAAGGTGAATTAGAAGAGTAGCTCAAAAGACTGAGGCAGGGCTTGTGTATGTTATTCATTGGCCAAGACTCTGGTATCCCCAAATGTGGTTGTACTTAGCCAAACTTGGTTTGCTATCTGGGAACTAGCAGGGACTAGACTAGTAGGCAAGGTGCTGGGGGAGATCTGGGGCTCAGTCTTTGATCTGCTACAGTCAGTTGTATGACTCCTGACTTGTTTACTTTAAGCAGTGACCTTCTCCTCTCTAAAATGAAGACATCAGATGAGATCATTTCTAGTAATTCTGTAATTCCAAAGTCATTTAACTCTACTTTTAACCTGTCACCTTCTAAAAATTAAATTTTTATGTGCTTTCAAAGACTTCTCCAAAACAGTAAAAAACCTACAGGGTTGGAAAAAATATTTGGCAATGGCATATCTGACAAGGGACTTATCTCTAAAATTTATAGAAAACTCCAACACCTCAACAACAAAAAGACAAATAATCCAATTTAAAAACAAGCAGAACACATGAATAGCTCCGTCACCAAAGAGGATATTCTGGTGGGCAACAAACACATGAAGAAATGTTCATGATCATTAGCCATTGTTGTTGTTGTTGTTATGTGCTGTCAGAGAGTTGCAAATCAAAACAACAATGAGATACCATCTTGCCCCAGCACTAGTAGCAAAGTTCAACAAGACAGAAAATAAGAAATGCTGGCAAGGATGTGGAGAGACTGCGACTCTTATACACCGCTGGTAGGACTGTTCAGTGATACAACCACTATGGAAAGGAGTATGGCGATTCCTTAAAAAGTTGGAATTAGGAATACCGTTTGACCAGCAATCCCATTACTAGGTATATATCCTAAAGAAGTGGGAGCCAGGACAAGAACAGATATATGCACACTGATGTTCATTGCAGCACTATTTACAATAGCCAAAAACAACATAGGTGCCCATCAACTGAAAAATGGATAACCAAACTATGGTACATACATACAACGGAATACTATGCAACCTTAAAGAATGATGTAGAATTCGCAAAACACCACATAACATGGATGGACTTGGAGGACATTATGCTGAGTGAAATAAGTCAATTACAGAAGGACAAATATTGCATTAATCCGTTATTGCAAAAAGTCAAGGAAAAGTTTATATATGGGAGGAAATTTTCTTTGTTGGTTACCAGGGGTGGGAGGGGAGGGAAAGGAACACTGCTAGACAGATAAAGACAAGTACTGGTTGAGGTGAAAAGGAAGGGCAATGTACCAAATGTAAGTGATCAACACAGTAGCATTGAGGAAGAGGAAGACATAGAGAGAGGTACATGGGAGGTACAGACAACAAAGATGAACCCCTCTGCACATACAGTACTGCACTGTCAGTGATGGCAAATATTGATCTATGGGTGGATAGGTGGGTGGACAGGCTGAACGATTAGGTATGTCTGTGCAGGGAGGAGTATGCCCATGACCATGTATAAGGTTGGCAGACAATGTTTCTACAAGTGTGTTTGTATGTTCTGTAAGAATTTCCAGGTACATAGCAGAACTGACAAGAGACAAGACTTCTTGGCCATAGTCAGCTACCTAGAAGGAGCAAGTAGTTGGACCTGTGGGGTCGGGATCATGGTCACAGGGGACATCCAGCTCAACTGACCTAACATACTACACAGAAGCATTGTTCCACATCCTACTTTGGTGTGTAGTGACTGGGATCTTAAAAGCTTTTAAGCAATGACAGGTCTCTCCTCAACCAGAGCAAAGAAAAATGAAGAAAACCAAAGATGCATGGAAACAATTAGTCCAAGCAATTGATACACCATGTGATCCTCAGCCTAACTATGAGACAGAAGAACTAGATGGTGCCCGGCTATCACTGTCAACCACTCGGAGGGGGATCTAAACAGGAGATCCCAGATAGAGTGGGAGAACAATGTGGACAAAACTTAAAATCATTTGGAAAAATAAAAAGGGGACCAGGTTTGCTGGTCTGTTAGAGCCTGATGGAACCACTGAGGCTAGAGCCCCTAGCTGCCCTTCAGGTCTGGAAGTGAACTCATTCCTGTGGCTTTCAGCCAAACAAAAGACAGGAGGGATATGAGCTGAACATTTACATTAGGTAGATACACTCCTTGGAGAGATCAATCATATGAGAATAAAAGGGCAGTGTATGCACAGGGAGACAGCTTGAGGTGTAGGAGAGCATGGGAGGGAAGGACACAGGGAAGAGGTAACTATTGAGAGGAAGTCAGTGGGAAGTGAGCTGTTACACAGTGGGAAATTGCAGTCAATGTCATGAGACAAAATGTGTATGAACTGCTGTATGGAAAATATATTTGCTCTGTAAACTTTCACCCAAATCACAATCAAAATAAAAAAAAAAAAAAAAAAAAAACCATCCACTCTTCTGGATCATCCACACTGCCGCTCCTCTCCATTATTAGTGGAGTATTGCCATTATTATCTCTGGAAGAGTTATGTATACATTCTCTAAACAGCTTAAACATAGCACAGCAGTAAACATTCTCATCTCAAAGCAAGTCTATTAGAAATGTTCCTTCTGCTAGAAAGATGCTCACCTTCTCCTGATTGTTTGGCTTAAATATGCTATAAAACCAAACCAAACTCAATTCCATCAAGTCAATTCCAACTCACCACAACCCCCACTGGGTTTCCAAGGCGGTAAATCTTTACAGAAGTGGATTGCCCCAGCTTCCTTCAGTGGCTATTGGGTTTGTACCACCAAACAGGTTATCAGTCAAATGCCTTAGGCACTGCACCACCAAAAAAAAAAAAAAAAAACCCAAACTCATTGCCATCGAGTCAATTCTACTAATAGCGACCCTTCCTTGGGTTTCCGAGGTGGTATCTCTAGAGAAGGAGATTACCCAATCTTCCTTCTGAGGAGTAGCTGGTGGGTTTGAACTGCCAGGCTTCTGGTTAGCAGTCAAATGCCTTAAAAAAAAAACAAACTCACTGCCATCGAGTCAGATCCGACTCATAGCGACTCCTCCTTGCGTTTCCGAGGTGGTATGTCAATGGAAGTAGATTGCCTAACCTTCCTTCCGAGGAGTGGCTGGTGGATTTGAACTGCCAGCCTTCTGGCTAGCAGTCAAATGCCTTAGGCATTACAAAATGTTATAGGTATAGCAATAACCATGACTCCTAAATGTGCATGTGCACACGCCAGGGGGTATAACCACAGAAAACATTAGCTCATTGGCCTGGTAGAGCTTAAGGATTAAATGGCTAAAAAGTATACAATTAATCTGTTCAGTTTAATACAATCACAATCACATGAGTTGTGCAAACCATCACCGTATTCTCCATCCATAATTACTGGGAGCAAAAAGAATAACTTGTATTCCTCTATTTCCATTTATTTGACATAAAACACTGGTAGCTCTGGAAAAACCGGCAAGTGGCTACTGGTAAGGTAAATCTGAAGATCAATTCTCTGAGATATTTTGAAGGGAAAAAAAAGGCAAAATTTATATGTATCAACTCTCTGGTTACTTGTAAGAGAAGAACTGAAGGTTTCTAAGCCTCATTTCAAAATCTGGTCAGCCTCCCACAAAGAACAGCCCCACTGGGCTTGGCAACCCCCTTGGTAAGGCTGTCTTTCAGTCTCCAGAATCTAATATTGGAATACAGCAAAAATAATGCAAACCAACTTACTGGCATTTTTAGTGGTAACCTGGGGGGCAAGTCGGAAATGAACTCTTCAAATCTGATCAGCTCGTTAGCATGATGCAGCAGTGCTTCTGAGGCCTGGTTTTTATGGACCAAAATTATGTGGAAACCATGCCTGTGTCTCAGGTCACTAAGCTCCAATGCAAAATTGACATCAGCTGAAAGAAAAGGTACCACCCACCCCATCCCCAAACATTAGAAACACTTGAGAGCAGCAGACAACACTACTGACACCCATTAAAAACTGTATTGATCAGGAAACAATGTATACTTGTTTCCTAAGTTCAAAGTTGCTTTTTCCACTTTTAGAAAAGAAACACATTTCACATCAGAAGAATTTGGTGAAGAAAATCACAAAGACACATGTTATTTTCTATATTTAAAAAAAGCAAGTAATATGTTGCTAGGGCTCAAATTTGGAAACTATTCACCCTGGAATTTTTCTGAGGAAGTATCATTACAGAAGTAGATTACCCGACCTCCTAGTGAGGAGTGGCATGTGGATTTGAACCGCCAGCCTTCTGGTTAGTAGTCAAATGCCTTAGGCACTACACCACCAGAGTTCCCATACCGGGCAATGAGTTAGGAAAAAAAAGGACTTCTGTAATAAACCTAGTGCCATGAGAATCCTTACTTAAGTTCCATGAAGAAAATACAGAAATCCATATAGACCCAGTTTTTATTCCAAATAGTTCTTAAAACTAAGCATAAACACATCCTAACTAATGTAGTCTCTTTGGGGCAAATTTTACTTTAATGTGTTTTTGGCTTCTATTATAATTCCTACATAGTGAATTTGGTTTAAATTAGCAGATGTTTCTACACTTACTTGACACAAGAACTACAGTGGCTGGAGCAGTGTGTGTATTTGCAAACCGTCGGAGACTCTGTCGGAGTTTATCATCAGCAGCATTCTTTGCAGTGGCATTGATGTGGGCAACAGTTACCTGCATTAATATACAGTAAGGGTGAATGAGCAAAAGCTGAGGTCAGAAAATGACAACATCTTTTGTCACAGTTTAACAGCTTATATTTAGATAGATAACCTAATAGAATAGTAGAAAATCTTTCATTATAATTGTTGTTACTGCCAGTTAGGAATGAAAAAAAAATTACCATAAGGAAATCAATACCATTTACAATAGCTACCAAAAAAATAAAATACTTTGGAATAAATCTTACTAGGATCACAAAAGACCTGTACAAAGAAAACTATAAAAAAAAATTACTTCAGGAAACCATAAGAGATCTACATAAATAGAAGAACATATCTTGCTCATGGATGGGAAGACTGAACATTGTGAACATGTCAATGCTACCCAAAGGAATCTATACATTCAATGCAATCCCAATCCAGATCCCATCAGCATTTTTTAAGGATATGGAAAAAACAATCACTAACTTTATATGGAAAGGAAACAGACCTCAGATAAGCAAAGCACTGTTGAAGAAGAAGAAGAAAGTAGGAGGACTCACACTGCCAGATCTCAAAACCTACTATTCAGCCACAGTAGTCAAAATTGCCTGGTACTGGTACAATGACAGACACATAGACCAATGCAATAGAGTTGAGAAACAAGAAATAGATCCATCAACCTATGGTCAGCTGATCTTTGACAAAGGGCCGAAATCCATCAAATGGGGAAGAGAATGTTTGCTTAAGAAATGGTGCTGGCAAAACTGGATATCCATTTGCAGAAAAACGGAACAAGATCTGTATCTCATACCATACTCAAAAACTAACTCCAGATGGATGAAAGACTTCAATGTGAAACCTCAAACTATACAGTTCCTCAAGGAAAAACTAGAGCCAAACTTAGGGGCCCTAACATATGGCATAAATAGACTATTAAGCATAATCCAAAATGCACAAACAGCAGAAGAGAAACTATATGAATGAGACTTTCTAAAATTAAATTTTTATGTGCTTCCAAAGACTTCTCCAAAAGAGTCAAAAGAGAACCTACAGACGGGGAAAAAATATTTGGCAGTGGCATATCTGACCAGGGACTTATCTCTAGAATTTACAGAAAACTCCAACACCTCAACAGCAAAAAGACAAATAATCCAATTAAAAAATGGACAGAAGACATAAACAGACACTTCATCAAGGAGGATATTCAGGTGGCCAACAAACACATGAAGAAATGCTCACGATCATTAGGCATTAGAGAGATGCAAATCAAAACAACAATGAGATACCATCTTGCACTAGCACTAGTAGCAAAGTTCAACAAGACAGAAAATAACAAATGCAGGCAAGGTTGTGGAGAGATTGGAACTCTCATACACTGCTGGTGGGACTGTCAAATGGTACAGATGGGAAGCAGTATGGCGATTCCTTCAAAAGTTGGAATTAGAAATATCATTTGACCCAGCCATTCCATTACTTGTATATATCCTAAAGAAGTGAGACCCATGACAAGAACAGACATATTAGACATATGCATACCCATGTTCATCGCAGCACTATTTACAATAGCCAAAAATGGAAATAACCTAGGTGTCCATCAACTGAGGAATGGGTAACCAATCTATGGTACATACACACAGTGGAATACTATGCAACCCTAAAAGAGTAACGCAGAATCTGCAAAACACCATATAACATGGATGAACTTGGAGGGCATTATGCTGAGTGAAATAAGTCAGTTTGTCACAGAAGGACAAATATTGTATTAGTCTGTTATTGTAAAAGTCAAGGAAAGGTTTATCTATGGAAAGAAATTTTCTTTGTTGGTTACCAGAGGTGGGAGGGGAGGGGAGGGAACACTGTTAGATAGGTAGAGATAAGTATTAATTTGGGTGAAGAGAAGGTCAATGTACCAAATGTGAGTGGTCAACATGGTGGCATTGAGGAAGAAGAAGACAGAGAGAGGTACATGGGAGGTGCAGATAATAAAGATGAACCCTTTTGCACATACAGTACTGCATTGTCAGTGAAGGCAAACATGGGTATATGGGTGGATAGATGGGCAAACAGGTTGAACTATTAGGTATGTCTGTGCAGCAGGGAGTGTACCCAAGACCAAGTATAGGGCTGGCAGACAATGGTTCTACAAGTATACTGCTATGTTCTATAAAAATTCCCAAGTGTATGGTAGAACTGACAAGGGACAAGGTTGTAGTCACTTCTTGGGCACAGCCAGCTACCCAGAGGGAGTGAGTAGTTGAACCTGTGGGCTCAGGACCATAGTTGCAGGGGACATCAAGCTCAATTGGCATAACATACTATACAAAACATTGTTCCACCTCCTACTTTGTTGAGTAGAGACTAGGATCTTAAAAGCTTGTAAGAAGCCATCTATATTGAACGATAGGTCTCTCTTTGTCCAGAGCAAAGAAGAATGAAGAATGAAGAAAACCAAAGATTCATGGAAACAATTAGTCCAAGCGACTGATACAACATGTGATCTGCAGCCTATATGACTATGAGACCAGAAGAACTAGATAGTGCCCAGCTACCACTGTCAACCACTCAAAGGGGGATCTATGTAGGAGATCCTAGATAGAGAGGGAGAATAATGTGGAACAAAACTCAAAATCATTTGGAAAAAAATAAGGTACCAAACCTGGTCTGCTAGAGCCTGGTGGAACCACTGAGACTATGGCCCCTA